ACACGTCATAACTCGGCAGTGCTGAACTTTGTTCGGTCCAGTATGAACCACACTGTACATACGAGGCTTGCTTCGTATACTAGTGGTCTCGGGTTCAAACCTCGACTTTGCGACATGTCTTTTACATCGAACAAAGCAACAAAGACAATACTTTGTCGTGTTTCTGAAAAAAAGAAAATCTTCTCCCCATCTCTATAACAGACCTGTAGACGTGTTGGTGTTGCCACTTTGTATTCAAGGGGCAGTGAATGTGTCAATGGCGTATTCTGGTGGCTACCTAAGCTTCGGAGGAATTTACTGCCTCCATCTTCAGGGCGATATCTTCCGTACCAGAGTCCACGCGGCATGACAACCCAGAAGGCCACCACTGACTGTAAAATGAGGCTTCTCTCCATGCTACAACGTAGTTTCATAAACACTGAAACGATTATTTTAAAAAGCTCATTAGTTTCAAACAACCTCTCGACGTGTTGCCAACGTTATCAAACCTCGTTGTGAAGTGTACTATACGATCTCGCTGCCATTACAGTATCAAGACAATCTTGAACAGCGCATGCCCAAGTTATCCGGGAATGTATTTTGAACATTTTCACAATCCTTCTCCAAAATTCCCGCAAATACTTCATAGTGATGGTTGAGACCTTTCAACGTATGAAGTTTGACTTTCGTGCCCAGCGCTCCCTGAGGACTCGGGCATCCATAAAAGACACGCCTTACCCTGCTGTGCACCAATGCCATGGCGCACATGGGGCACGGCTCCCTGGTCACATACACATCATATCCTGTACAGACGTAAGGACCCGTCTTCGGCTCTCGAGAGGCAGAACCGTCCTTCGACCGCACTACATCGACGCCACTGCTGTCAGTATCTCTGCACCCGAACCAAACATCGCTTGAGGTTTGCTTGTTGCCAGCTTCGGAGCTGGAACAACGTCGAGTCTCCTTCTGTGTCAATGGCTCAGAATCCACGTATGATTTACGTATCTCTTTTATAAAAGATTCTCCAGTTTCCAAAAACCCCAGTCTGTCTCCCACCTTCCAGGCCCCCCCGCCCTGAGAATGCGCCACCAGATCAACGACTACCATAACGGCATGCTTTAAATGGTATTTAACCCTGTCATCATACCCTACGGCGATAACCCGTTTCTTTGCCGGATCGACAACCAGGGCTCCGACCCCAGCACCACCAGCTTCAAAACTACACCGTGCAGCTTCCAAACACTTCTTCATATACTTTTGCTGCTCCAATTTTTCGGTTACGTCAAACAATTTGTCACTCAAAACCTTCTCTAAATATTTGTTTTCATGAAAGTTACAAGGCCACAGTTTCACGGTTTCCTGATAATGGCGTCGCGTTTTCGGAGCCACGGCTGGCACTCGCATTCGTCTAGGTTCACAACTGAGGCCCGCGGTGTCCAATCCGCGGTCTTCCAGCTTCTGAATGCACGTTTGGGGTTCATCTTCTTCATAAGAAGCCAAATTAAGAATCACCTCAGACTTCGAAACCCTCTTCAGATGCTGAAGAGATGGTATGGGACACACAGCGTTAAGCTCCTGGATGAGTCTAGACGTGTGTCTAGGATCTGCTACTCGATCTACGTAGACATCAAGGAGCGGTATTTTGTCGGCAATTACGTCATCGTCCAGTACAGGTCGCAAGTGCCAGTTCTCCAATTCACTTCCGGTTGTGTCAATCTGTGATGACGACGACGACGAGAAATCTACCTTTCTTCGTTTGCAATGCATAGTTCTGTGATATGCTTTACATGGAATTGCTCTTATTAAATTCTGGAAACAGAAAATGTGAGCAAAAACATTAAAAATATAGGCCGGATAGGTTTTCTCTACGTTTTGACAACCGTCAATGCCATCTGAGAAGCTAATCGGATTTTGCAATTAAGTCTTCTCGAGCAATTAGCCGTGTAGGACCGACGTTATTATCCAACGCTCTGAAGACAATCTTTCTCTCCATCACCAGGAGTGATAACATCACACGGTTGGTCGCCCGAGAAGACTTTTACAGCATTCATTCAGTCACCGAGAAAGCTTCATATTTTATATAATCGGATTTTCTTACACAGAACTGCTATCTGAGACTGCGTGGTTCAAGGGAGAGAATATTGTGACGCATTCAAGACGTGGTTTGGGTTCGCGTCAATAATTTCCAAGGAACGCGACGAGGCGTCGGCGGGCCTGTTCCGAAACGAAGTAAAACCCAAATGGTTCGACAAGTCCCGAAGCGATCCACATTACGCCGAACGCAAGCTAAAAGTGCACCCACTAAAACACACCACAGAGAAGCAAGGATGTTTTTACAGACATTTCCTTCAGCACTGCCTGAATCAACACAGCATTAACAAACGGATACTAAAATCACTCGCTCTAGAATTAGGTCTCTCAAGTCTCAAATTCGTCTTTCTCGAAAAAAACGTATGGTTCATCTGAAGACCAAAACAGATATTTCAACAACCGTCATACCGTATCACGCGCGGTGGCATGTTGATGTTTCCAATTTCGCTAAAAAACAAAAAGGCCCGAATTAAAACTGCGAATTTTCAGGTATTAATCATCACACAAAAGTTCAAGGTTCCACGCCTTGAACAGCGCTTATGGCTCGGCTGTCATCTCGTAAGTACTGACGAAATTACGCCAAAAACGTGAAATGTCAATTAGAGAATAAAATTATGATGCCCGTACTTTAACCAGGATGAAGGCGAGATGAGTTACTCGAGTGCGTAGTGGAACAGTGTTCCTTCAGATGTCTAAGAGCAAATATTTTCGCAGTCACTCAAAAGCGAACTTTGGAAGTGACCGCACACGGGGAAAAGGTCAGTAGCCTATCGCCGTCCTACGACTGAGGTCATACAACCTGGAACACGCAAAAGAATCCAATGCAGATACGAACAGATATTTGGGAATCACAACAACAAATCCAAATTCCATTCACGAGGATATTAAGAAAAGATTAAATTCTGAGAATGTTCGCTACCAATCCGTTCAGAATTATATTTCCTCCTCTCCTGCCTTCGAGATATAAAAATGTAACTATAATATCTCCCGGCTCGTTTCGAAACCTGGTCATTCACATTAAGTGTTGAAGACAGATTGAAGGTATTGAGAGCAAAGTACTGAGTAACTTAACAGATAAACAAATTCAAACATCGACCTGTTAACAGCGGGTTATTCTCGCTGTCACAATGTCTGTGAAAACACATGCATGACAGATCTGGCGACCAGTAGTCTATTTATTGAGCGATCTGTCACACTTATTTGGCCCAGATGTCAGGCAGATTAGAAGGGCCATGTCATGAACGCAATTACAAACACAAATACAACAACAACAACAAAAGGGCATTAGTATCGCATAGCAATCGACCTGCGAGAACTTCTGAACTTCATACTTTCAAGGTAGACAAATTTAGCAGTGAACACGACCGTCTTCTAGAGCGCTGCGCCCCGTACTATGGTCGAAGTTGCCCGGATGACGTGGGCAAACTTTAGAAATACTCGGCGCAACATCCCAGAAGACAGCCATCTAATAATAGCGTTCGCAAACACGATGTCCCCTGCCTTAATCCCGACTTCCATCAAGTTCAACTCCATCTTCAGACGCAAAAGTCTCCAGAAACTGAAATCCAGTTGCATAACCACCAGGCGTTGAGAATATTACACCAAATTCCACACTACGTAGCCACGGCAATATAAAATTTTCAGGCCTGAATTAAATTAACAAAAAGTTAGAGCAAAGTTTACTTGATTTTGGTCTGACTTCTTTGATGTGGTGTGGCACTGTCGACTTTAAACCCATAATAAATTAATCAGATCGTCACGGTCATACAGACACGTCTGGTGTTCTCGACAAGAGCTGAACGGACAGAGAACAAGGTTAAGACAGCGAACGAGCTGATGCAAGGCAAAAACGAGACAGATATAACGCGGTTACCACGCGCATCGTTTTCTGCAAAGATCCGATTTCTTGAAGACGTCAGTCTTCTGGGGGTGTTTGCGCCGTGTCGTCTGGCAGAAGTTTACAGACGTTTCAGAGGTCCTTGCTACCTCCATCATCGCCCTGATGATGGAGGCAGCAACGACTTCTGTCCAAACCAAATTCGTTCGTCGCCCTCGGGTCTGACGAGCCGTGCCCTCGCTTTTAAAACAGCTGACACGACCCACGCAAAGGAAATATCAAGTTACAAGTAGATACGACGAGTATGTGGGCTTGTAAACGGCGTCACGAAAGCCACTGACATTTTCGTTAATAGGCGTGCCTTGTACGGGATATCAATTTGAAAGGGGGTCGGGGGTCCGCCAACATCACTAACCAAGAATTTGTGAAGCTCTGATCATGTAATAAGACAGGCTGACAAAGAAAGATTTCCAGGGATGCTTCCAGGCTTGGCAGCGGCGCTGGGATCGTTGTGTTCACTCCCAGGGGAACTACTTCGAGGGTGATGGATGAATTTAATACCTGAGATAAGTGTACGGGTTTTTTTATATTATATATACGCTCAGTCTGGAAACTTTCCGATCGCACCTCGTACACGCAGAATTATCGTAAGGAAATCCTTCGAACGAGCACATGAAGTCCACAAGCGGATAAAGGACATTTCTGAATGACCTTTTTTTTTGCAAAATGTGTTAGAATCACACATAAAAAGGACGTAATCTTCAGCTAGCAATTCTGTAGGGCAGGGGTTCTCACCCCTTTTTCGCTGGCGTACCAGTAATTCTAATTTAACACATTAAATGTACCACTAACCAAATTCATTCTGGGAAAACCTATTTATGTTAATATTATCTTTTGATTTCCTTACTTAGTACGCGTACCACCAGTGGTACGCGTACCATACGCTGATAAACGATGTTTTAGGGTATAAAATAACGAGAACTCCACCATTCTCTTTCAACGTATTCCGTTCAGGGCATGACATTAAAAAAACATTGCGCACAGTTTCCCAGAAAATATTTCCATGTTAGTCTTCGCAGTAAAGAAACGATCAAGACCACGCCATTTCAATATCACATCTTTTCAGAGAAGTTCTTACACGACCTAACAAATTAACACCGAGTTTGTGGATCCTTCAGCCAAACATCAAATTGTCTCTAATCAACTATACACACGGATTATTTTCCTTCTGTGCACACATTTTAACTTCATATTCCACATTCAAGGCGTTATAATGAACCAATTTGCTAATGCCCTTCAAAAATATACACAATTTAACCATTACCTCTGACGAAATCAACGAATGCCTACGTTCTAGAAACCTCGACGTTAACACAGAAGCCCGACAACAATCTACAACCTCGCAGAGCTATTTATTATTCAGTGTCCTGTCTGAGGACAGGTCCATATGAACAGGATCCTTCCATCCTTTTCTCGGACTGGGACCTGTTCATATACGTTCTTGGCAGATGATCCAGAAGTGGTTTGCCATTACCTTCTTCTGTGTGTGAATGGAGTAAGTGTTGGGATGCCACGGAGGAAAACTCCGTGTTGCCTAGACCAAGGCCTTGCCCAACACAAGTTATAAATGCGACCCCGAGACCCCAGGATTACAAGGCCAATGTTTGTTTGTTTGTTTTTCTCGTACTCCACCAGACTTTTCATTTAGTAACGTGCATAATGGATTTTCCCCTCGACCTACCGATAAGTCGAAAGAACTGAGATAACAACTACCAGTAATGAATGAAAATATTAACTTACATCCACCATTACGCAGGGAATCTCGTTGGCAATATTCATCCATCTACGGTCTGCAACTCTTCACATTTTTAAAATTTGGTCTCGGAACATAATAATAACTCTCTGTGATCAGTATCCGTTGAACTTCTCCACACGCACAAAGTGTTATTTGTTAACGAGCAAACGTCTTATGCAAATACCTATTATAATTAGTAAACCATACACGATCGCTCGGAAAGAAGGAAATTTCCGATAGACTAAACCTATGTTAGACCCTTAACCCTTGGTTTGAAAACATTAAACCCTGTGATTTTATCCTTTGTACCCTTAACAATAATTAAACACTTCTCTCCCTAAACACCTATTTACGAACACAAAGATGATCTCAAATCCTTGAAGGTCTGTGTAGTAACACATAAAACAGGTTCTTAACACTTTTGATTATAATCCGCCAACACAAAAACGTGAACACACGACAAAAAAAATCCTTTTGTAAACTCTCAATACGATGTATAATAAAAGTTTTGAAAGTTTTCACATTAACGGCAACAAATTCTGTTCTCAGGCTTTGTAATCACAACCAATCCATCAAATGGCCTGAGCTACAATCCAAAAACAACACCAAACACCATTATTTATCATTACGCTGTTAATAGCAACTTAAAACGATCAATAAAATAAAAGTTCTCCATTATTTTATCCGCGTACGTGAAGATCCACTCTCAACACAAGATGGCATCAGTGCGAATATTAGCAACCGAATAAATTAAAAATGATAGTGGTGCAGTAAAGATACGTCCTCCACTTAAGACCACAGATACCAGCAAACAGAAACCGTCGCTTGTCAACATGTAAATATTTAGACGTGTATTTGGACGATCACGTCTTGTTAACACAATTCGTTCTCATCAATACACATTCCTTTACAAGACGCACATTTTGGTAACTTCACCGAACACAAAGCCACGCAAACTTAAGAGGGACACACTTTATTTTATTATAATAAACATAAAATTCACATTCATAGACAGAAGTGAACCATCAGCTTCATGTTCCAGCATCTTTGCCTCAGATGAAATAATTCCGGTACTCAACGGAGACGAGAGTGGACCACTCGCGTTATGAATTGCTTTCCTGAGTCTTCGGCAGACTTACACGTGTTTCGTGGTTTTACTCAGTCCCTCACGTCGTATGATATTCGAATACCCTAGTACCTTAACCCTTTGAAGCCGAAGTTCGTCTAAATA